AAAAGGTCTCCCCACCCAGGGGTTTACATAGTCCGTTAGTACCTTCCATCCATCTTTTTACCTCCATGCTTCCATGCACAGGCGATGCTTTGTATTTTTCAATGTATGAAAAACCAATGTTATTTTTCAAGAGCATTAAGTCTTTGTTCTCTTCCACTTCACTTGAGGTAATTTCGCAGTTTTTCAGTAAGATTTTTCTTTTCATTTTCAAAATACGAGCAGCTCATATTATGCATGGATGTATAAATGGTGGTAACCTACTGCAGCTAGTGGTAACCCGACTTTTTACTAACGCTGATGATTGGCCATAGGATTAATCAGACAGTTGCGTGCACGCCAGCAGGAAAAAAGTACTCCTGTAGATGTCGGAGATGTCATTGTCGCCCAATGTATTGTGCGATATACGTGTACGAGCATGGAAGTAGAAACCATGGTACGAGCAAAGACTCTTCTCTATAGTCTTTGGTACGAGTAACGCCGGTTTTAGTGGGTGCGCCCCTCTAAATCCTTCACTGGTACTGGGAATCGTGCATCGCGCAAATACAGTCAGCTGTGTAAACAAACATTCGATAAATCACGTGGTCAACTGTTTAGCACACACCCGCTGAACACGTGCTAGTACAAATACTTACAAGCTGTCAGCAACGCAACACTTGGAGGTGGGAGTAACCATGGTGTAACATTCCGTGGATTAAAACTGAATTGAGTATTGAATATAATTATTATTATTATTATTATTATTGAATATTGGAGTGTCTCCAAAACAAAACGAAAACAACATGGCTATAAAATAAGTAAAATTGTGCAACTTTTTCGCAATGCTCATTTTTTTTTAATTTAGAAGAAATTTAGGAGCCTATCTCAGTGTCTCCTATTCGAGCTTATGTAATCGCCCGTTACTATGGGAATGGGAACCCAACGTTTGGGGTATGTTAATCCTGTTTTAGCATCCAATGAAAGCAGACAAATTATGTATGGTGACGTCATGAACAAAGAAACAATGGCAGTTTTTACGAGTTAAATTATTTTAGATTTGTGTGAAATCTGGCATGATCGACATCTCGAACTCCCATTGGCCTATTCAAAACATCCGCGAAAGGTGTCGTAATATTCCAGTTTCTTTGTTTTCTGGTGGTTTTCCAGAATTCTCCATCACGCCGGCATTGAGTGATAACAATGCAGCGCAGCGACCAATCAGCATCGTTCGTTTGCTTCGTTCACTGCCTACGGACTCCTGTGTCATTTGCATTGGAAATCAGTCGACGTCTAGATTCCTTTCTTGTGACACGAGATTTTACTTCTGCTTTGCTTTGATATATGAAGAGTAATAATCAAGTTTTAGTTAAGAGTACAGTCAGTGCTCTGCTTTTGTGAAGATACTTAAATATCAAAGATGCCAATAGCCATCGTAGGTGCCGGCAAGATTGGGCAGGCGATAGCACGGGGATTTGTTCGAGCAGGTGAGTTGTTCTCTTCTATTTTGAGATTTTTCTGGTGATGTGCGACCATTCAATTCATTTTCACATTTCGATTTATTCTAACGTCATTATTTGTCTAAATGTACAACAACGGATAACTCGACTGCAGTACAACGCAGAGCACACGTGTGGAAAGTAATACCTGTGTACAGTACAATACTATGTCACAAGTCGGGATATACCGTGTGTAACGGATATGCACTGACAGTCCTGTACGCAGGGTTAGGCAAATGACTAATAGTTAACCGTCGTACAGTTTATCGGCTGCGACTATATCTTTCGTGGATAAGCAAATATCCAGTGTTCTCACCATGAATAAAATATGAAGGCAGAATCGTTCTATCGGTTTAGAAAGTCCTGTTCACGTAAAACTTGAAACAGACGTGCATAGTATTTTGTTTCACCTATAGTAGAGGCATCATCGTTCACAAATACGCGTTTTGTTTGTTGTAAAATAACTAATATCAAGATGTTTAATATGAAAACAGCTGAATTTTGAATTTTCCTTTTAAATTTATAAATTGATGTTTGCATTTCCTGATTTTTATAAGAACATTTCTCATGAGTGGAAAAAAAAACATGGGTCAAAAATATTAACCCAAAGTAAATCTAGTGTCTGAGAAAACTGCTTATGTTTTAAAAGTGCCTGGAAAAAACCATGTTTGATTTTGGGTCATTATATTTGATGTAATTGTCAAAGATCAAAACTAAATGCCTGTCAAACAGAAAAAATGGAATTCTGTCAACAGGCTGACAGCTAGAATACACAGGGCATTGGATCTATGCAGTTACTTGTGGAATGAATAGTACGGCAACTCATTGGTTGTAAAATCATGTACATGTAGGGGAATTCATACCTGTATTCATCCTATTCCCGCGCCTTGTTTAGAAGAAAACAAATCTGGATTTCCGTGGAATTTTCCGTGGAATTTTCCGACAATATTTTCTGTTTTTCTGTAGAATATAGCGCCCTCTATAGTCAAAAGATTTTATTTTTAAAAATTATTCTATAGTGGGCTGATCTGGAATGGCTCATTTGAAAATTATATTTACATATTCTGATTTGTATACAAGATATTAATGTATGAATTTTATATTTGTCCATTAATACAAATTTAGTTGATAGTTTGCAGAAAATGATTTGTCTGTTTGTAAAAAAAAGTTATTAAATTTGTCTTGGTGATCTTGTTTGTGTTGGTCTTGTGATCTAGCAGTCTCTGCTGCAAGTCTTGTGATCTTATTGATCAGAATGGATATGTATCAGGTCTGTGAGGAGAGTCTTGTGATCTTGTTGATCTTGTGAGGATATCAGTCTTGTGATCTTGTGGACAGGCAGGCTGGCAAATGTTGACCAATGGTGGACAATTTTGTGATGCTAGGCAGTGACAAGTGCCTACAACCTTGGGGTTATATAGGATGGGAAACAGTTAGCACTGGTTCATTTACAAATTGTTTCCCATCAACAGGGTTTTTGAGTGCGCATTGAACCTATGATTAGATTAAACATTATGTTTAACACACTGCTTATAAGTAATAACAATTAACTGACAAAGCTTTACAAAAAATTACAAAAACGTCTGTGTTAATGGTAATAGTTTCTAACGTTGAGTTAAGAGAACAAATTGAAATGGGCATTTTTGAAAATTTGTAGTTCGATTCAATTTATTCTCATTTGAAACATTAACATTTAAAGTTGGCAAGTAGACATAGATTGTTTAATACCTGCTAAAGGTTTGGTCTGATGAAGAAAGACATGTGATGGAAAATGTTACTAATATGTAAAACTGTTGGTGAATGGTAGTGAGAGCTTCCATTAAAGTTCGATGAACCGGTTTACCCTCTCACTATTATGCAGTCTGTTTAATGCAAACATCAACAATTTTAATTTTTAAGAAAGAAATTTTATACTAGGCATTACACTACAGTTTTAAAAATTACACAATTTATTAAAAATTACTGGTACCAAGCTACATTTTGTGAATCAGAGAAAGCATGAACTCTTGTGCTGAGCATATTGAAGACATAAAATAGACAAAATGTTCAAGAATAATCCACAATATCAAAGTTGATAAAAATAGAAATCTCTAGATACAATATGATTGCAAACTGATTGTATATCAGTCAAAGAGCTGATTAACGAAATAAACGCATCAATGATTTAAACATTTTAATAGCATTAGACTGGCACAAAATCTCATTTGAGGGGCTAAATTTATACAAAACCTGATTGGATTGCACATTTCCAGTAAAAATAGCTATAAATAGCAACAAATTTGTAACAAGTTTGTGGTTACCGACTGTTAACTTGCATTTGCATATATTTGTAGGTTGCAGGTGCATACTTACATTTTCTTGTTATAACCCAAGCTTGTTAGGTAGCTCAAATAATGTTAATAAATGTACACACTACACTACACTCTCAGCACTATATGCACCTATTGACCTAGCTTTTAACTCCACTGTCAACTTTGTCAAGCAGAGCTTATCATAAGAGTGATTGTCTGGCGTCAGTATCAACTTTTTGCTTTTTTGGCTTTTTTTAGCTCCGCTGTCGACTTTGTCGAGCGG